TGTAAAATTTTTTAGCGACACTGTTGATGGAATTTTTTGAGGAGCTGGAGATGGCATTTGTAAGTGGTCCATGTTTCACAAGCATGTAGCAAGGTTGGCAGTACAATAGCTTTGTAAACAAGCATTTTGGTTTCCCTGCAGATGTCCCAGTCCACAAACATTCTGCACTTCAGAGGTTTGGAAAGCCCCCACAACTGCTAATCTGAGTAGACAGTATGAGTAGATGGACCAATGGTTGATAAAGCATCTACCTTTTTTCCAATATACTTTTTAAACTCCACTTTAGAGTGCTAGCCAAGGTATCCTAAGATGAAGCTCTAGATATGACATCAGTCTCCACAGTAACATCCCAGCCAATCCCTTCTTCCTACCCAGAGAACCTCACAAATTAGAGTGGCCTATTCAGAAGACCAAGGCAATAGCCGATTTCATTACTTGCTAATCTCTTTTAACACCTGAGTTCCTTTCAACTAAATTACCTCAATAAAAGCTGTAAGTACTAAGAGGAGGAGGAGATCTAGTGTGAAACTCAATTCCTCTACTCCTCTCCCTCCCCAACATTGCAATCCCAGTAATTGCAAATGGCTTGGCTACCATTAACATTACTGAAGTTTATTTGGAGAGCAGAGGCAGGCAAATAAAATCAACTTTGCAAAATTAAAAGAACTCAACCGCTCTTGTCTTTGAGGCATCCCGCTTCTAATTACCAAAAATTGCTTTCTGGTTGAGGGTGTTTGGCTGTAAATCAGGGAAAGATGCTGCAAGTTAAGCAGTAGCAAGTGAAGCACCAGCTGCCTTTAGCTTGATGAAATCAAAGGTTGGTAAACAGTGATGTTAGAGCAAAAGGAGGCACGGAGCAATGCAGATTTCTTCCCACTTGTACACATGTACCGCCTCTCACTTTCTACCCCTCTCTCACACACAAAACAGACAGTGCTGTGATAAAGTGCTTATACACTATGTTGAAGCAATTAGAGAAGGAAACCAAATTTCATTATATGCTTCTGAGTCATCCCCATAAGCTATCATTTCTAGTTTCCCCTTGGCACACTGTTTCCCCCCTGCTTAATAGGATAGTTGGCTTTTTACACAGTGCATCATTGCAAAGGTGTCAAGTAGTTTGCCCTTTCTATGAGCTATAATGACTCTGCATTGAATGGATTTGCAGACTTTTTTAAATGACTGTCAGCAGTCACTGGGGGGGGGGGATCATGCTGCAAGCATGCCATTGAACATTTCTTGGGCCTAGTTAATGCTCATGTCACAGCAATTAGAAATGAGAAAATTAGCAAGAATGTTGCCTGTGTGTTCTTGGTGGTAGGAAAATGTGTTTGCTTTATGTTTTGGAGGGTTCAAAATCACATTCCAGCGTGTGATTCAAAGGATTTCTAAAATCAAAGACATGAAGTTACTTCACATAACTAAGGGACTTACTGCTGAGAGTATACCTATTTCAATTTGGGGGCTAATAACATTTTTAAAATTCTCTTATATGCAATCATTAAAGAACCCATATTTATCTGATCCTCATTTTATAGTACAGCTCTTCTGAAACTAACCTATGTCTATTTTGCTTTTAACAGGCATGGGGAACACTCCCCTGACAAGTGCCTTAGAAGAAAATAAACCACGGGTATTATAACAATCAAAACATAGCTTAAAATATATCAAATATGGGAAAGTGAAACCCTCCATCGTAATGAGAAAGGGGACACAATTAGTTTTAAATCGCAGGAATCAGTAAAATGCTTTCTGGAATAAAAACGTTTTCAGTGACCATCTAAAAGGGGGAGGGTTGTTTGATCTTTTCAGGCAGAAAATTCCTGAACTTTGGTGCCACCAAACAAAATGCCATGTCTCAAAATGGATAGCTTTATGGCTCTTTCTCTTTCAAACCCTGAAAGTGGTTGCTGCCAGTTAGCATAGACAATCTCCTAGCTCCCAAAATGCCACTGGCTCAGATTCTGAACTCTCTGGCCCAATATGCCCAGCTGATTACATGACAAAGCACCCGCAATGCCATTATCCAAACTTGGCATACAACATGTCAGAAACAGTATGTGGAAAGATGACACGGGACACTAAAAAGCTGCAATGACTGCCATGACTTTCTGCAGCCAAACCATGGAACCACCACAGTTAGAATGTACCCTAAGTATGTAAGATCTTTTGTCAGCTCCACCTGGCACAATTCCTCTTCTCAGAGTGTCACTTAGCCCTAAAGATAAAACTGAAGCCTCATGCTCCTGAAGTATTTGAGCCTACCTGCAGCTCAGTTCCCAGCCCTCCCAAATGAAACCCTGTTAAATTGTTCCAATCAGTTTAACAAAACCTTGAGATCCTTATGACACTCAGCCATGACTCACACCCTTTGATGTGCTGCTCTTGAGCCTCTCATAGTATTATACAGACCTTACAAATTATTCTCATTATTATTAATTAAAATTACATACCACCCTTCATCTGAAGATCACAGGCCACTTAACAAAATTGCAAACACAAAATACATAATAACAACAGCAACATTCTCCACCGACACATTTAAAAGCCCATAGATAGTTTAATCAGCCCAAAGTCTGCTTGAAGAAGAACATTTCACTCAGCATGTAACTATATGAAACAAAGGCACTAGGCAAACCACCCTGGGCGAAGAGCATTCCACGAATGAGGGGCCATCACAAAAAAGGACTGTTCTTGTGTTGCCAACCTCCAGACTTCTCAGAGAGGGGGGCACACAAAATAGGGCATTGGATAATGATTGTATGGTACAGTTTGATTCATATGGGGAGAGGTGGTCCCGAGTCATTTCTGAACCATCTTCAAGGGCAGCCCCAGGTAGAATGCATTTCAGTAATCTAACCATAGGTTACAAATGCTCTGCCAGGAAGTATCGCCCTACATGCAAACTTTAATTGGTCAACCAATTCCTGAAACTCCTGCAGTATAACATTCCCAACCACTAACATTCTCTGGATCTTTTCTTGCAACACCAATAGCTTCTCTGTTAGCAGCCAAGAACCCTGGGCAAGTAAATAAAGTCCTTGAATTCCTGCATTAAGTACACACATTGACCTGACTCCCGAGGCCCCACAAAAAAACTGTGCCAAGCCTGTCTGCCGTTTCATGGTCCATTCCAAAGATTAACAAAAATGCTCAAAGGCTGCACATGAGATAGAGCAACCCATAGGGAGAGCCCTAGTCACATAAAATTTTCTTTCATGATCAAGACCTATTAACTCTAAATCTGGATGAACTGGGATTAGGCAGAATGCAGATTTGATGTCCTGAACCCCTGGCCTACCTGGCAGCAAGTCAGTATGTCAAGTCCCCAATCCATGTGTCCAAAGTCCAGTCCCATAGAGATTCTGGGGCATCCAAACTGAGGTCCATCGCCTCAGCTCTGCTACTCTTTTATATTTTGCAAGCTGATTGCAGCACCTGGGCTTGATGAGGCATGTGACCTTCACCTGTTCCAAGCTTACTCCAGCTAAGGAATCACACACTTTCTCCTGGAGCTAACAAACCCTACCTGGCCAGCTAGTGAGCTCTTGCCTGATTCTGCCTCCTCCTGCTGCTTTTTACACCTCAGAGCTTTCCATGTTTGTGGAGACAGCGGCCCCTCTGTCGGGTCCTGATGGGTCCTGCTGCTCTGCTTCCTGTGCACTGACCCCCATCTCCTTGCCATCCTGTGAGTATTTCTGCAAACTTCTGCATAATCTCTATCACTGAACAGTGGTTCTTCACTTATTTAAGAGAAGCTATATTTTTAAAGAAAAGCTTGCACCTATTAGATCACATCAGAGTAGATGTGAAAATAGGTGTTTTGTTTTTGCAATCTGGCCACAAACATTAAGCAAACCTTTTTCTGGGGTTATACTTGCCAGGTTCTCATTTTGGGGGTTAAAAAAAGATGCAGTTGGTTAGTGAAGATAATAGGCTTTAATGCTTCCTTAATGTACAGGTTATTTATTTATTTCCTCTTCCCAGCACTCTTGTGCTTCATTATCACAATTGTCTATGCCTTGTAACACAGCGTGGCCATCAACGCTCTCCCAAACACACTGAAACATAATGCAAGCCTAATTGTACATGCACCTAGTCTTTAAAGCAAATAGCTCTCATTATAACAGATGCCCTCTGTAATTGGAGGGATATTGTCCAAAAATTAGCTGGAAATCAGTTTAATTAAACTTCGTAAATTACTGTTGAAGTCACAATCCTGCCACAATGTAATTGACACTGACTGATTAAATTTGCCATATTACAGTCACAACAACAAATGGTCCATGTCATATTTTTATTCTTATTTTTTAAAAAAACTATTTATAGCACAGGAGATATACACATGTTGTTTAAAATAGAACCCCCCCCCCCCCCGTGTATACCATTGCAGAACTGGTAGTCTGGGAGGCTAGCAGATGATTAAGTCCAGAAGGGTGGTCTGATGTCAGATCAGTCTTTCCTTTAGCCACCTGATGCCCTCTAGCTGTTCTGGACTACAACTTTCATCAACCCCAGCCAGCATGGCCCATGGTCAGAATGACAGATGCAACATTCCAGAGCAACTAGAGAATCCCAGATTTCCAGCATCTGCTTTAAACTAAGGAGCCATGCTAGATTAGAAGCTTTCTGAGAAGCTACAGGAGGATTTTTTGCAGCATCTCAAAGACCTATGAAGCTGTGAAACCATCCATTGAACAATAGGGCCTGTTGAAGTTAGGCTTCAATTCCAAAAGACTTTTACTTTACTGGGTACCTGGGGCCTGCCAATTAAGAATTTGATGACATCCCTGAATTGTGTGGGTGTGACATCCCTACAGTCTGGAAAGCTCTCAAGCAGGAAATGAGGGCACCACCCTATTTCCACTGTTATTACCAGCAATTAGTATTCAAAGGCATGTTGCCTCTGATCCTGGGCACAGTATATAGCTACAGGACCAGAGACCACTGACTACTATACCATTCATGATTCTAGAGTTTCAGAGAAGAGTCTTTCCCATCTCTACCTGGAGTTGCCAGGGATTGGACCAGGAACCTTTTGCTTGCAAATCATGTGCTCTACCACTGAGCTAAGGTCAAGAGGGTGTGTGTGTGTGTGTGTGTGTGTGTGTGTGTGTCTGTGTGTGTCTGTCTGTCTGTCTGTCTGTCTGTCCCTTCTAGTAGGTTTGCTGAGAATTAAGTCTCATTAAAAGCAATGGAGTTCTGATTGATCCTGATGTCTCAATGGGTTCAGTGGGTCTTAATGTAAGAGTAAGCATTCTGACAATTTCAGCATTGCTTTGCTGGGTGGGTGGCCTTGAACTTCAGGGGAAAGGAAAAATTAGACAAGTACATTTTTCTTCATGTTGCTCAGAGGTCAACTTTGTAAAAGCAAGAAAACAGTTACCTTTCTCTTTCCTGCCTCAGCTGCAATTATCAAAGAAATGGGTGACCCATCATTTTTCTATAAAATAATTTCCCATCTCTTACTCCCCAATTTCATCCACTTCTATTGTAAATATTCTTCAGGCTAATTTGTCCAATCTCGTTAGATGGTAATAAAAGCTTCGCACAATGCAGTGGCAAATGTTGGCACTGAAGAACATCCCAATGACATTAAGGTGAACATCTGTTGCCGCTCTTGAATCTCATTTAGCATCCTTGCAAACTCTCTTTATGAGCTTCAGAAAGCAGCGTGGAAGCTTGCAAACACTGTGTCAGAATTCTGCTCTGTCTCCGAAGTGTTGTTGTAGAATCCTCATTGATTCTATCTGCAGTTTCCATCTCCACTGTCAGGTTCTGAGAGTTTATCCAGTACCCAATTTACTTTAGACCCCACTTCTGATGTTGAGCCCACTTGGCTCAACTGTGGCCTTGGGTATTCTGAAATGGCATCATTGATGGCAGCCATTGGGCCACTGACTGATTTGGAAGTGGAAAGTGGAGTGGAAGTGGAGACTCTACTCTAGGACAGGGGTAGGGGACTTAATCTTCCCAGATCCTTATCTTTTCTACCCACCTGGACCAAGTTTGTAAGTAGGTGGGGCAATGATGGAAAGCAACATAGAATGTCTGCACTGTTACGATATAGAAGCAATGCGGCCACGAGCTGGTAGCTTGAAAGCAAAACATAATGGGAATGTTGGGACTGTTCCGTGGGAAACAGAGGGACAGTCAATTCACAGTGCAGAGGGCACCGGAATTAGCTCAGAGTGTAATATGAGCTGTACAGGAAGTACAGGAGGAGTTTGTCTCTCGACTGCTGAAGCTTGAAGAGAGCAGTCATGATTTTTGTAACGCTGCAAAGACAGAAATAAAGGAATGTAAATATGTTTCTGTCTATCTCTCTCCCCTGCCTGGGGGGGGGCAGGAAAGAGGGGGGGGGTGTTCTTCTCACGCTGAGAAGGATCGCCTATTGCGACCTCTGCCTGGATCCTGCTGGGGAATGCAGACAGGGAGGTCAACAGGAGATCAAGCCGGGTGCCTGGAGAGTGGCCAGTTTCTCCTGATAAAGGCTTGAATCCCAACATGCACTTCCTAGGGCTGATAAGAGTTACAGTCAGAAGCAACAGGTTAGGGATGGCTGCTGTGTGGCATGGACAGATTTTGAAATGTATACACACTTCAAGAGATAAGAAGATCTGGAAAATAAGGGTCTAATGTTTGATACGTTCTTTATCCCCATAAAGCTCCCTGTGAGTAATCTAGGATCCAGCTATGATGTCTGTCCCTGGAGAGATAGAGCCTTGTCACATTGATTCATGTTCTGGTAACCTCCCAATTGGATTACAGGCAACTCCCCATTTACACATGCTGGATTTGCTTGCAAATACATGGTGCAGTGTTGGGAACCTGGAAGTGGATTCTGGAAATAAGGAGCACCCTGGAGAGTTCTGTCTCACAAGGATGTCCTTTCCATGCTATGGGGAAAGTCTCCTCACAAGCCAGGGGTGCAACAGGGCTTTGCTGAGGCCTACTGCCTAACAGCTGACATGTGGGGTAAAGCAGCAGCAACCGCTGCTTCCCCCTCCTTCAGCTGTAGAAGCCACCCTGGCTCTCTGGCTCTCACATGAGACAGCATGGCTTCATGGACAAGCACAGACAACATCTGGGAAAGAAGCTTCCCCTTGCCTCAGCTCTGCAAGCAGCTCTGTCCCTGCAAGCTCACATGCTTCTGAGACCAATTCAGGGTACATAGAAAATACTGAATAAATTGTGGCCAAAAAAAGAAAACACAATTTTCTCTGTTGCAGTGCTCATGCTTTAAGTTTGGTAAAATACTTCCTTTTGTCCCACTACCAGAGGAAGTGGATGGTGCAATGGTACAAGAAACGAACTCCTCTGTGGTGGTATCCTGTCTCTCAGAGCTCCCTGGTTCAGAGAGATGTTTCTACCTGCTTTAGGGGCTGGTTTTTACTCATGCATTGAGATTTTTTGTCCTGATCTCGTTTGTTTGGCAAGAAGCCCACAAAGCATTGGAGGAATTTCAAGATCATGGAGACTACTTAGTGAACAATTTAACTTTAAAAAGGGCTACAAATTGATTGGTGCCTTTTGAGCCACCCTTTCCAGATCAGCTTTTTAGGTTCCACCCACTTTGTAATAATTACATTCCTTCAAGGGGCATTGGACTTACAGAGAGACATTTCTCCCATGACTCTTGGCCACTCACCTAGTGTCCTTCATGTACCATTGAACTGCAGAGGTAGGTTGGAAGGGACTCAGTGCCCAGGGGGCTCACAGCTCTTGTTCTATAGACCCAAACACTGTGAGATATGGTCCAGGTGGCTCCTGCCCATTGGCATTGAATTCAGTGGCAAGAACCCAGTCTGTTTCCTTAGCCAGTGACTCTGCAGTCAGTATCTTGGTTGCTGCTGGATTTGAGGGTCTCACTTTCATAATATTATATCTCAGGGATGTTCAATGAAGCCAAAGACTCAAGAGAAACCAAAGAAAGTAGTTCTTCACAATTTTAAAACTGTGAATTTTTTTTCAATATCATGTAGTGATGGCCACCAACTTGAATGGCTTTAAAAGAAGATTAGACAAATTCATGGATAAGGCTATGAACATTAGTGACATTATGACTGATAGGACTGGGCTGTGGAAATCTGAAATACTTAGAGGAGTCCTTCCAGTCTTCACCATCTGAACTGTCAGGAACTTCCCTAGAGAAAGAGAAGCAGCAAATGATGTTCTGACCAGAGGTGTTTGTGCAAGGCATAATGTCCTAAGTGTATATCACCTAATTTATAGGCTGCTGTGATTACCATCCAACACTTTTTTTCTTCTCTCTTTCCATCTGTGCAAAACCTGCAGAATACAAAATGAACAATAAAGGAAGCAAGAGTTAAAGAAAATACAGGGACATGGGAGCAGCAGGAGCAGTGGTAAAACTGCTGAATGATCAATGACAGTTTACAACCCATTGTTCCCCAAAAGTCTAAAATTAGATGAGTAGGTGGTCTCATCTTAGGGGGTATTGAATGCTCATGTTTCAGTGCTATTAGTCAGGATAAGTTAAAGGAGAAGGGGCAGAGAAAAATAACAGCTCACCATTTCTAACAGGGTGTCTGATTTAAAGGGGGGATGGTTTCTCTCTGCTCTTTAGAAAGGACCCTTCCAGGGAAAGAAAAAGGGTTTTTTTTCCTTGAGAAGGGTGGAGAATGGAACCATGTAAAGGTCATGTGGGACCAAATCTACAGGAAACAAAGATTCCTTGCAGAGGGCCAATTACTATGGACCATATATGTTTTGTACCATTGCAATAGTAATAATAATGATGATCATAATAAAGGTACAGGGAAGACTGCACCAATTTCTGTATACTAAGCCCAAGCACATTTAAGGGAAGTGAGGAAAAAGAAAGTGAGAGGAAAAACACAACCACAGCTCTGTTGGAAACACTATTCTGTGAACTAATCAATATGATGCTTTGCTTCCTCTTGGGGAAAGTGTGTGGGAAACAACAAAGAATCAAAACAACTGTGCTGCTGTTGAATATATACCAGGTGCAACTGCTGAACACCCCATTTCTCTCAGCAGGCTTTACCTGAAGTCACACAAGCTGTGATTCATGATGCCACACATGAATGCCCAGGATGCATGACTTAAAATTAGAGATGGACAAATATGTCAATCTGTCACTCTCTCATTTTATTTTTTTCAAACTTAAGCCCAGTTCATATTCACATTATTTGTTTATTTAAAAAGCCTACATGCATACACACACATATATATACATGTGTGTGTGTATGTGTGTATAATGAGATATATATACCTGTATATCACGTTATTGTATGCAAATTCTCCGAGAATAAGCATTTTTGGAAATAACTATTTCCATCACACCCATAAAGAACACTCAGTAAACATAATGTGAAAATGTTATATTCTGTTCAAAATGTGACATCTTGGAGGACCTACAAAAAAAACCCCAAACCAATTAGATCAGCCAAAACACCAAAACGATCTGAGCAGAGAAGTTCCCTGAGACAGCAGGGATCAATTAACTCACCACTTCTGAGTAGATCTACAATCTCCTCCTGTGGCACCACAATGAAGGACTGGAAGAAGTTCTTCCTTGCAGTGAGAGCCCTGGTATGTAACTTGTCCAGAGAACCATAACTTCATCGGTTTGGCATTCACCCTGATGTACATGCCAAGCTGGGGTTGAGGTGCACTGCTGTTGTGTTTGAATTGTACTGAGTTCCCTGCTGTCTTTTCACTCTCCCTCATGGTAAGCAACACTCTTCCTCCTGGCAAGCAGCCCACCTGCTGCAATGGTAGTGTAGCAACTCCAGCCCACCAAGAGAGTTGCTTCTGCCATATTTACTACCTGCAAAAAAAGAAAAAAGAAAAAAAAGGAGACATGAAAATATGCCTGCAGTGTGAGGGGGCTTTGTCCAAAATTCTACCACAACACCCTGTGATCAAATTATGTGCAATGTGTAGAGGAGCTGAAAAGAAACTAGAATTTGCAGAGCTGCTATGGATTTGGGGCTAATGAACTGATTTTTCTCTTCTGGCAATTCCTGTGTATTTGCTCCTGTATGCACCCAGTAAATGGTAAAGTTCCTCTGTGTGCACTCTGCTTATAAAC